TGGCTGCCGCCTCCCCCGCAGCAGCAGCAGCAGCAGCTGCTGCTGCTGCTGCTGGGGATCGATCCCCAGAATGTCGATCCCCAGGGAATGGAGCTGCTTGGTCTTCTGCCCGCTGGAAGTTGGGAATAGAAGCTGCTTTCGACGCCCCCATTCTCATCACCGCCGTAAACCCTAAACCCTAAACCCTAGGCTGCAGTTGACTCTAGAAGATGAAGGCCCGAAACCCGAGTCTCTGCGCCTAAACCCTAGCTTCTAAACCCTAATATTCTCTGTGCTTTTCTTGCTTGATTGAGCCTGGGCTAGAGGCCCTAAACCCTAGCTCCTTGGCCCTAAACCCTAAACCCTAGTTGCTGCATCCTAAACCCTAAACCCTAGATTCCGGTTTCTTAACTCACCCAGAGGTTGGATCCTGTGCAGTGTTTCAGGGGTGTTGCATACCATCGCGGCAGAGACGAGGCCGTAGGGTTTAGGGTTTGGGGTTTGGGGTTTAGGGTTTGGGGTTTAGGGTTTAGGGTTTAGGGTTTAGGGTTTTCTGCAGATTTTGAACACCCTGAAGGCCTGCGACTACGAGTGGCACCTCCTTTCCCAGTACAAGCTTCGCTGCCGGCCGCTGAGGCCGACTCCGGAGACTTCTCCAGAGGCCCCTTCCAGCAGCAGCAGCAGCAGCAGCAGCTGCAGCAGCAGCAGCAGCAGCAAGACCAATGTGGAGTTCGCCTGCGACAGCGAAGACATCATTCTGGCCATTCAGCTTTACAAAGTTGGCAGCTGCAGATACGTCATTGACGTGCAGCTCTTCGAGGGAAACGCCATGGGTGAGCTAGCTAGCTAGCTAGCTAGCTAGCTAGCTAGCTAGCTGGCTAGCTAGCTTCTTAATAGCTAGCTAGCGAACTAGCTAGCTAGTTAGCTAGCTAGCTAGCTAACTAGCTAGCTAGCTAGCTAACTAGCTAGCTAGCCAGCGTAGTTAGCTAGCTAGCTTGTTTGTAGCTAGCGAGGTAGCTAGCTATCTAGCTAGCTCCCCAGCTAGCTAACTGGCCCCCCAGCTAGCTAGCTAGCTAGCTAGCTAGCTGCTTAGCCCCCCAGCAAGCCATCTAGCTAGCTAGCTAGCTGTTGTTTCTGATTGTCTTTGTTTTGTTTTCAGTTTGCATATCTGAGGCGCTGTGGATAACATCAGCAATTTATTCTGCGCTGACGCAGCTGCAGCGGCAGCAGCAGCGGTGCCGGCTGCATGCGCCG